ACGAATGGAGATATGATTCATTTCGTTCCGACGGTAGATTCAGCAGTTGTATTCTTACACGCGAGTTTCTTCCAAGCATGCATAATGAACGATATCCTTGCGATTGCGTGTACCAAACATCTCTCTGACATTGCACCACCACCCGCGCGCTATGCCTGCTCATCCGCCCAGACTCATATCTTATCCGCATCATGTTATCAAGGTAAACGAGGTGAATTTACGACCTACTTGCGTAGTCATTAAACGAACGTGGTATAGGGACGATCGTATGCATTCGCGTGCTTTATGCCTCTTAGTTTCAGACGAATTATCAGGGAATGGTAGCTGGCAGAAATGAACGAACTAACACTCTTTTTATCTGACAATTAAAACTGTATAAATATAATAATAGTCTGCAATACTAACATTATTCATCATGACAAACATATATACAAAACGTGACATCGCGCAAGAGGAAATAAAATGCTACTAGCCGTTTCTCTCAGCCTCCGACCTGTCTTGGAAATATCCTTATTCCTCATAAACTTGCACGGCGAAATAAATCTCGGATCATTAGATATGCAACGTTTATTCGCGAGCACGTGCTCTCGCGCGAAATCCGACAGTGGCAGATCGCTCCAAGATAAATATCGAAAATCTTTACGGTGTATCTCGTATGCCTGCCTGGAGAAGCCGTGGCGATATTAATTCCAAAAATATATCGTCAGTCGGGGAGGCACGATATTCCACGGTTCTCGCACGTATTTCGGTCTAGGGTAATACGCACGAGGGAAACACGCCGCTGCTGTTTGTAGAGGGTGGACACGTGCGCGCCATATGTCGCCACCGCGCGTGTCGCGTATTTTTTCCGTATGTGCCGAGCCTTGAACGGCCAAACACAGTGTTCCGACGAATGTAGATGACGCGCGAAACGCGAGACGTCGATCAATCGAATCATAAGCGAATTTTGAGAATTCAAACGTGGCGTGATTAAGCCGCTCCAGCTTCTCCGCCCTCGTATCGCTCGTATTAATAGCTCACGCTTTGGCAGCTTGCCTATCGCTTCCTTTCATTCATGTTTCTGTTGCCGAGACTAGTAAGGATAAGAATAAACCTGGAGTATGGTGATCGTGTTGAATAGAAACACCATTGAATTTCTATAAGATTTCCTTTACGCGTTAAAGGGAATTTGCTTTAAATCGCATAAATATCGGTTTCAGAATAAAGAAATTCAAACTAAAGATTAAAAGTAAAAAATTTTGGAACCAACTATGAATCTAGCATATATAGGGGATAGATATTAGACTTTAATTATTGATATGACTAGCATCCTCGAAACCTGAATGTAATATTACTATTATAATAATAGACTGATCGTAATTGTCTCCACGACAGTTTTATCGTCTCTTCGGTTTGAAAGGAACCTTTCCGAACGACTCCCGCCAAGGATAACAACTGAGATATACATACATGAGACAATTTTTACGGGCGTATGTACATTTGTTTTAGAAAATCGTTCTTTCGTAATTCATAAGACCCGCATTCCCGGTTTTCACGCAACTTACTTTCTCTTTCTCTTACTACGGCGATTATGCATTTCGTAAGTAATTTAACCTTTAACAGCCAAGTGTCAGCCACTACAAGTATTATTCTAATCTCTTAAATGTCTCTTTGTAACTCTTAAAATAGATTTAATTTTTTTAATCGGAAAAAAAAGATTATTTGATAGAAAGGATTCGATGAAACAAAAATAACTTTATCGGACGTTAAAAAATAGAAGATAATAATTATATAAAATAAAATAATCACTACACAATTATTTTTCTAGAACAGTAACGTGATGCGAAACGTTTCACATGATGATTTCTAATTAACGAATTAACTTTGAAATAAAGACTATATTACAACTTACATGCGCCAGTTTGTTTTGCGTTCCGGTTTAATTTTTATTGCAGAGAAAGAACTTTCGTTACAAAATGTTCGAGGATCAGGCGGGTGAGTGGCTTCTATAGTGTTCCACTAGATGCTAATCGCGTTGTACCGGCCGATCGGGCATCGCCTCCATAAGCTGGATAAACCGTAATTAAAGCCGCAATTTCAGCATCAACTATTGTGTACGAAGAACGGATGCATGACGTAACGTCGAATGTAGGTCGTTGAAATTTTTTTTACGGTACGATACGCGACCGCACGTCCACGCGGATCACGTGTCGGAATATTGTAAGGTTGCAATGTAATACAATTACGTCCATTGCGCGGTAACATCGATTTCGCCGCGGAGTACAAAAAAAAAATAACGCCAACGCTCGGGAAATTTTTATTTATTTTATAACAGTTTTTGTAACATGTCTTTCATGTTGGAAAAAAAATAGATGGACGTAACTAATAATTGAGCTATGAATATTAAGTTTTTAAATTAAGTTTTTGCTGTGAGTAATATGTAAGCATTTTGCAATAAGCCGGCAGGTACCTGACGAGGATATAATTGCTGCGTGGGGTGTTAATTCTACGAACATACTCGTGTTTGACGACATTATCGCATAATAATATATCACCAAAGTTAGCGGCGGGTAAGAATGGAAATAAGTTTTCACCAGTTGCTATAGAAACTAGAGCGGAACGAAAGAAATCACGACGTGAGATTTACCGTAATTTGTCCTTCTCTTGTGCTCGCGTAATAACAGATGCATCTTAAAAAGATAAGAGCGCAAAACATTGTGCTTTGAGTTTATTTAAAGTATCTAAGATTAAAAACTAAAGATCAAAGAAATTTTAAAGGATATTTAATATTATTCTTCTATAATTAATAAGAATTTTCAAAAAATATAAAAATCGAGTTTCTGTGTTTCAGATGCCTGCATAATTAAGCAATTCGGCAAAGAAAAACCGATACCATATTCAGTGTTGAAACCGGTTAGATTACAAGTGTATACTACAAATAATTGGCAAAACGAATATTTTAATTAATCTAATTAACTAATTAAGTTTTATTTCTCTCCATGATTTTATGCGTCATTAAATTCTACACACGCACATTTATATATTTTGCGAAATAAGTTTTCCTAAACATTTTGTTTATTTTCAATTGAGTTGCAAACATCTATATTTCTTTACAGAAAGAGAAATGCATTTTTTAAAATTTTATTTGCGAAGAAGACTAAAGTGTAATCCCAATAATTTTGCATTTTAAATTTGAACTTCAAGTTCGAAGTTTCGTGAAATTCCCGATTTCTCGATGCGACGTTGCGCAATGCGTCCGATTAATCTCCGTGCGTTCTAGCGGCTGGAGAACGTCTATTTATTGCCGTCGCGCGTCAAGGATGCAGACAATTTCCTGGTTCAAGTGCACCAGACGAATGCAACGTCGCGGGACGCATATCGCGCGCGCAAGAATTTAGACGACATAGAAACGACCTCCGCGTGACGAGATAGCGGTCTTGCACCTAGTTAACAACTAAAAGACGCTATGCATATTTATACAGCTGGCATTTATTGCACCGAGACGCGATGCAAGGCGTGCAACTAATTATCTCTGCCGAGACACGAACGCCGCAGTGAAATTATCGTGAATAAAAATCAATTTATTATTGTAGTAAAATAATTCACGGATTTCAGTCAAATTATTTTCAGCAAATAAAATTGGTGACAAATCGTTAACAAATCGTTTTTGTTATCTACGTGACAACTGACGATACTTCCTGCATAAAATAATATCCAATATCGTTTGAATTTGTGCTCGTTCGAATGCGCTCAATCGCAAGGCTATCTCCGCCGAGCATTGGCGACCACAAAGATTTATCCCTCGCGTTCTAATTGAGTTCTCAACGAGTCCGATCGCGATGTAAAGCACGCACAACGATATCTGGGGGGCTGATGCGCGCACACGTACGCGCGATTCGTCGTCGACGGTCGCGTGGCCCGCGAGAGGCAGCTTTAGCATCATACCGGCAGCGGCCTCCTCTCTTTCTCCCAAGGGAAGAGGGCATCGCCCTGACCGTGACCTAGCCACCGCTCTCCACGGGCAAACAAACGTACACATACGCGTACACGTACATACAACATCCTACGCCGCGATCGACGCGCGCGGACGGCCAGTTTGTACGCTTGGGCACACGTGCGTACCTTCTCGTATAGGGTGTTCTCCTGCAAGCGTGTGCTCCGACGTACACTTTGTTTGTGAAGGCGCAACGGAACAATTTGTATACGACGTCGGCGATTTCGCATCAAGCGCTATGTTATCGTAGTTATAATTTTCTGCGGTAAATCTTGCAACGCCTTTTTTCATTGTAAAAAAAGGAAGAAACGGTATAGATAGAAATTTGAAATACTGCAATGCAATTTTGATTTCTTTTCAGATGGATAAAAATGTTAAAGCTGCATTAGTTTAGATACAACTTTTTTTCACACTTTGACTAGTGAACTACGCGTAAAATATTCATTCTGTCTTTAAATACTTTGTTTAATGTTTTAAATTTATTTCAAGGCCGGTTAGGATTAAAATTTTGATGGATATTTTATATTTTTGTCTGTTTCATATTCTATTTTGTAATATATTTTAAAAAATTAATAGCCAAAGCGAGAAATAAAGCACCGGTAGCGTACAATATTCAGGACAATATTCAAGAAATGGAAAGAAAGAGAGGTATGTTTTGGAGATGCAGGATACCCGGTACAAACGCGTAGGTACAGGCTCCTCCGCCGTATTTCTACACACACATGTACACATGCACGTGGGGGCACTCACGATCACGCGATCGGGTCTGAGGAACGTGTCTATGCGTGCGTACCGATCGTATATATGAGCCTGCATGCGCGTCTGGACCGACAGCGAAACCGGCCAGCTCTATGCCACGAGAGCTACCTTCGCGGTTGCTTTTCTGCGCGATATTTCGTCGTGGATTTGCCATGAGACGTCTTGGCTCGCTTACATAAGGCGCGTTATAAATCCCGATCTCCTTCCTCTTTTTTCGTTCTAATGGCGCATTAAGAGTACCCGATACCTCTACATCTTGCTATCTTACCTTGTGACGCCAGACGCGAGGAGATACACAAGCATAATTCACGCAGCTCTCGTCCGCGCAGCTTTTTCTCGGTGCAATTCTGCTTCGAAACCGGCTTGTTGAATTCCGTAAACTCCGTGATCCACTTTGATCTACAACATAAAAATATAAATATAACATATAAATATAAATGTTCAAGATTGCGTACAGATTTGTCTGGATTTTGAGTTATTTTGGCAATATATCACATTTAATCACCGTATATTTTTGAATAATTATTCAACTGATATTAATAGAATTTACAAATTAGTATCTTATTTTATTCCACATCATTTATAACACGACAAGTATATAATTTATGATACATGTCAATGTCGAGAATCCTTAACAGTAAACTTTAATGAAAGGAAAAGAAAGTTCCATTAATACGGACGTGACCAACGTTGACCAACCATAGGTGAATTGAACGTTCTATGAAAGCGGTAACACGAGCTGACGTTTATGGTTTATGATGACCAGCGTGCTCGATGACCGTAAAACACCCTGACATAGTTTAATAAAAGACCGAAGCCAAGACCAAATAGGGCTCAGTGGTAAAGCAATCACTTTGTGCATCATAAAATATATTATAGCGTCTCTTTACGCATCCGAAAAAGAAAATAAAAGTACATGTAGACGATGTGTCGCGACACTTTGCGATTAAGCATGTAATCCAGCTGCCTCGTTGCGAGAAGATCGATGCTTAATCTCAATATGGAAATATTTATTCATGTGTCATTTTAACACTGTCGTATCAATATCTCCTCTCCGAGTTGTATATAATACACCGACACTGATATCGACAGCTGAATATCCCCGTTGCGATTATGCAACAGCGATTGTTAGTTACCGTTGAAACTTCGCGGAAGTCTCTATCAGGATTGATTTTAACAAAGTAACAATCATAATCGATGATAATGTGCTGCACAGAATTAATGACACGGCGGGGAAAACAAAGAATGCATGCAGTCGACTTTTGGAGATACAAAAGAGAACGAGATAGATGATGCGTCGCCAAAAAAAGAACGAATGTGTAAGAAAATGGGCGCCTGAAAGATTTGGAAAACATGAGATTATTTTGGCGAACGGGCGAACTGGCGAACTTTACCATGCGATTCAGACAGCTTTTTAGACGAGCTTACGCGCACAAAATAGCAGCCGCGATATTTTCAGAACGTATGCGACTGCAGCTGCAATTGCGTAGACATTCGGCGCGCCGCGATGCACTGGTTTGCGCTACGATGTATTGTGCATTCTTTCTTTCTTTATTGTTTTTTATAATGCTTATTCTTGAATGTCCAAGATAATTTAGAGTTCTTGTAATAGCGTTTAATAAGAAAGAGCATTTAATATGTGTTATTATCGCGATATATTAACACTTTAATTATACATCTTGCTGCAATGTATGCATTAAGAATCATTTCATCTTTAATGAGTTTAAGAAGTCGCAAATGCGTAATTTAGTGTTAACTTAAAGATATCCAAAGTTCAATGAGTAGAGATAATCGAGATCGACTGCAATTTACTGCGATCCGGATAAACAAAATAAAACTGCTGGAAAACAGATTGTTACGTGCGCGAGCGAAGCAGCGACAGAAATATCTAGCCTTGACTTCTTCGCGATCTTCGTGTCGATTTCCTACTCCGAAGACTACATTCCGCGCCGCTCGCTCCAGAACTGCTTTGAAAGGCTTGTTTGCTCTTGGCGCGAGCGATCTGCAGCACGAGGAGCAAGCGTGTGTCGTTCTCGTCCTGTTGCTCGTCTCCGCGTTTGCATGCACCGGTACGCACGACGGCGTGTCATTGAAATGATCGCGATACCGTGCATGTCATAGGTGTCACAGGGATTCTATCGACTGGTGCGCGATGCAATCGGACGTATCGATGGCTACGACCTCAGCGCGACATGCTCCGTCGTGGCGAATAAACGATTATTATCAACGAAATATATCTTGACGTGCCGTACCGTAGATATCGACAAGGTCGTCGAGAAAGATACAATTTAAATCGCTTGAAAAGAGTTTCAAGATTACTTCTTTAAAAACTCAGACTGGAGATGTTGTCAAAACGTCTCTTTAAAATATTTTATACTTATGAAACGTATGTATTATTGTTTTTAAGCAATTTACATCGAAAGATGATTAATTAACATAATTTTGAGGTACTCTGGAAAGTTTTAAGAAACAAGAAATAATTTATTGTAAACTTGTTAACTTTGCTGTGAGAAGGAAACAGTATGCATTTTGAAATGGAGCGTTTTCGGAAATAACACACGTATAGCGGATGTGACGCACGTACATAAGCCAAATATAATAATATTTGCGCACGAAACGATAAACATTCTCGGGGATTCAAGGCGAGCATCTGCTATAGATGAAAGTTTAATTAGAACGATATATATTTCTGATAAAGAGATGACTGTATTATCTGCATTTGACCTCTTTTATTAATTTCATTACTCAATCAATCATACTTCGTTAAATATAAAACAACTGATAATTCTCTTTACTAAATTATTATTATTTGATTGCGTCAATTGCTTGATTGAATCAGATATTGTTCCCTATTAACCTTTAACATTTATTTTCAGCAGGAATAAAACATAGGATGGGCCGAGCCGTGCAAAGAAGTGTTGTTCAACATTGAAGAGGAGGAGTATCTTAAAAAAGCGAGAGAAGCAGGAAAGCGTGAAGGATGCCTGCTTCGTCGCAAACCGCCGCAACCGAGCGGCGAAACGAAAGGACGGTTAGTAAAGTTAGATAAATTTTTAAGGGTGAGAAAATACATATTTTTTTATCAATAACTTTACAATTATGACACATTTAAAATATTTGCTTCTGGACAACAATATTTTACCACAAATATCGTTAATTACATATGAATTTTATATATAAAAGAAATACGTGAAAATAAATATTGAAAATAATCTTTTATTTTTCCACAGCAGACGCACGAACCACCGAAATTGAAAACGACTTTAAAAACGCCTCCTAAGCAAGCGACTAATCCTTTACAATTTGTCAAAGTTGGACCATGTTCGCTGTATCGAACTGCACAGGAGCAATTGCAAAAAGTTCAAGAAGTGAAAAAGATCAAACAGGAAGTACGCGATGACCCCGAAGATTGGCAATCGGTAAGACATTGCACATATAATTTTTTAATATTATAAAATCAGAAAAATGAAATCTTTGCAAATTATTCATTGGCAATATATATTTGCATTTAGCATGTAACATTAGCTAATTGGATTTTATCTTAAAGTAACAATATTTTTGCTATTTTTTTTTTTTTTTATCAATCTTTCTTAATCGATTTAAGATTTTGTTTATTTTATTTAAACTGAATTGAATTTTTGTAAGTCATGACAAAAACATTGTTCCCACAGAATCTAGACAACTGGAAGAGTAGCCGGAGGAAGCGGCAGGAACATATAATCGAGCGAGTGGTAGAGGTAAAGAAACTCGAATTAGAGGAACATGACCGCCAGCGTCGTCGGAACAAAACTTTCTCGGAGATGATGGAGGAGCGTGGTAACAGAGGCCGTAAGATGAGCATCAGCTTAGCCATGTACAACGACGAGGATGCGAACGATCTTAGCGATCTCGGAATTGGTACTAGCAGTGGCAAGAGCTCCGTTAGCGGTGATACGCATGATGACACGCACAGTGTTTTGGTACGTATGCGGATACGTATAACACATCTTATCGTTACATTTTTATCGAGAAATCAAATCTTGATATCACTAATTGAATATCAATATTAATTTCGTGACTAGAAAAATTGTTTAAATTTAATTTATCAATTATTTATGAATTTATGAATATCCTTGTTGCAGGCAAATTAGTAAAAATTCATTATTATATTTTATAATTACAAAACGTTAATTTGCATTTTTTTGAATGAATTCGTTAATTTATGCAGAAGCGTTGTCTTGCGAATTCAAAGTTTCCGTCAAGTTACGATAATCTTACAATGGCAACAAAATTGGCCCACGTACCTGTAATCATGAACTGTGCGCTCTTTCTTTATATTGCGTGTTACTTATAAGCATTTATCTAGCGTTTGAGTCGTTACTATATTGTAAAATTGCCGTGCAAAAGATTTAGAATAATAAAAGGATACTAAATCATTCTAAACGGGTGAAGAGCACACGTAGTTTTCACCGTAGGAAACTTTTACATACTTATTTTCGCAAATAGCCATTTGATGATTTGATTTGAAATAACATTACGTTTATTCGTGCAATTTTAGAGTGACAGAGATAGTGAGATTGAAAAAAATCATTCGGACGTGGATAACGTCACCGATATCACTACATCTATAGCAACGACTGCCACAACGCTGACCACAACGGCAATAACAATCGCGACGTCATCGGAGGCAGCGTCTACCGCATCAACGACAACAACAACAACGACGGAAACAACTACGCCGATGTCAACTGTAATCGCAACGACGAGCGCAACACCAACGACGACGACGTCCCCGGCGAGGAAAGTGTTTGGCGGTGGCTTTCACGGCAATCACAATCACATTCAAGAGTACGATTCCGCTAATACCGCGACGACAAGCTCTCCTGAGCCGGAGGAGTACACATACGAGGGCGCGATTCGCGGTTACGTATCGAGAGTGTCGCAAAACATACCGAGGAGATCTGTAACCGGGATCGACTCTAAACTAGACACGGTCAAGTCGTCGCTGAACGGTTCAAAGACGAACTTGAACGACGACAGTGATAAATCGCCGTTGTCGGTGGTGAAGGTGGACATACTGAAGAGGCGCGAGGTATTCGAGAAAGCGTCTCAGAAGAACAGCGACAATAAAATGAACAACAGGCTGTCCGGTGATTTCACCGGTACGAAATCGATCAAAGAAAGGCTGTCGAGTCTCGAGCGACAGAAATACGAAACGGAGAACGGCGACAAGGTTGCCAACAAGTCGCTGAACCGATTGTCCGGCGATATGAGCTCAATTCGGGAGAGGCTCACCCACTTGGAGAAGCAAGCTTCGGAGCGAGAGAGCAAGAGTTCCGTTCACCGTAAGCTCAGCACGGAGGATATGGAGACAGTGAGGCCTCTCAGAGAGCGACTGTCCACTCTGGAGAAGTACAGCAGCAGCGACGAGTCTTCGGTGCCGGCCGCAACGAACGAGACGCGCTCGCACAACGGCGAGCTCTCCGCCAGGACGATCAAAGATCGACTCAGTGCGCTGGATACCACCAGGAGCAAAGATGCGACGGACAAACGAGGACCTGCGCACGTCGGCAAACACCCGCTCTGCTTCCGAGACCCAGAGAACAGAGTCGATACGTCGACGCCTAGCGAGAGGAGTTCATCGCCTGATTCGGAATATCGTGTACCGCGGGCCGTCTTCCACAGGAGTTTAGATTCCTTGGACGCGGACGCGTCCAGCGGGCCGGACACCTTTGAACGCGTGCAAAGCCTCGAAGAGCTTGATTACGGACGACGGTATCCAGCCTCGTCGTCGTCCGCTGAGCTTTTGAACGACACAGATCGCGAGGATTCGGGTATCCACACCGCGGATGTGAGTTGCTCGGTTAGCCAAGCGGATGAGCCGATTGATGAGGAAATCGTGCAGCATACAAGCAGCAGCGCGATTGTCGAGCGACGAGAGGTCACTGTCGAGGAGAGAGTCAAAGCTACATCTGCTGTTCAAGAAGACACGCCGGCGCCGAGCACGACGATCGAAGCGTCGAATGACACCACGGCAACGACTACGCATTCACAGTTCGCCAATCGGGAGGCAGCAGCGGTGAACAAGGTAAGTGTCACATTTAAAAATATTTTATGAACGCTAAGATTTTTTATATCGGACGAGAATCGATTAATCTTAAAATTTTCTAATTATGACTGATGGAACTTGGATCAAATTTCGAAAGACTTTTAAGTGATTTATCTTCAAGTGAAACATTAATTTCATCACTAACTAAAACATATACATATTTTTCTGATACGCTGCATACATCTACACCCTGAAAAATCGATACTATATCTAACACTTTTTCTACAATGCCCTGCGCTACATCCCTTTACTTTTACATTTTTTTTCTCTTCTGGCTGTGGGTCTTGAACAACTACAAATTCGGTTGTAACTCTCTGATTCTGTAGGGTACTGCTGACAGCTCTGGGGAACTATCGACTAACAAATCACAGCCGCAGGCGCACGTAAAGACCACTAATTCTAATATACTTCGTTCGCATACCTCCGTGCCTCGCGCGGTCACCCTTTCGAGTTCCAAGGTACCTTCGCGTGAAATAATTCCCGAGAGCCTCGCGAAACCGCGATCATTCGGCAGAGACGCCGTCGAGCTAAAGACAGATTCTGAACCGAGCCCTAGCGAATCCATAGTATCGGCTAGTTTGAAACTCTCCATCGAACAGGCGAGGAAATTCGTCGGTCAAGCGAAACGGCAGAACCTTTCCAAGGAATACTCCTCCAATCTCCCGTCTCTGCCGTCCTCGGACGCCGTCCCCAGCGCGGAAACTTATCAATTATCGTTTCCCTCGCTCAGAGCGACGACAGTTGCAACTAGCCTCCCTCTCGAAACAAATCCAGTTTCCAAGCCGGCGTTTTCTCGAACCATTTCTAAGATTCCCACTCCTCTGTCTCGAAAAACTACGAAATCCTTACCGACGAGTTCCGATTCTGTCTCGACCTCGTCGGCTCTGTGCACTGCCGCTCTCAAAGCCTCGCCTTCGAAGGCGCACAACGCGAGTAACAAATCCTCAACGAGTCAGCCTTCCTATTCGATTCCGAGAACGTCCGACGCGGCGCTTTCCGCGAGCGTCGACTCCTCCGCGCCCGTATCCTCGCAAGTGAGTTCGACGGAGCAACCTCCCCCCTCTCCCTCGTCGAGACTTTCCTCAGCGAGCGCGCGACATAGCTGCGAAGAAGCGTTACTACCTGCGGAACGACGTCGAACCGTAGTGGAGGTGTGCGAGAAGGTGGTGGTACCTCAAGGCAAGACTCCCACGACACCGCCGGTGACGCCGTTTATCACGGTGAACCGCGTCAACGCGGACAAGCAGAGCTCCATAGCCGAGGTTAGAGACGATCAGCAAACCGGCAACGCCTTGAAAAAGCCCTAAAGACGCGAGGATCCTTTCGACCGTGTAACAATAACGTACTGTCCTCCGCTTTTGGTCAGCCTCTAGACAAGCCGTGCTAGATCTTTGTAAATAGAGTACATGAGTTGCGCGGACTCGTAGGACGCGAAAGGAGTGTCGAGAGTGTGTGAAGTGAAAGAGAGAATGAGAATTTGAGATTCAATTCTGTCGTCGCTTCGATCTAACTGCGTTCCAACTGTCTGTCAGCTGGTAAGCCGAATGTTAAAGCGTTCTACGAACGATTGTACAGCTTCTGCCTAACGTTTACATTTTTATAAGAATCATCCGGTCGAGGGTTCCGCTTCCAATTCTTCGCGGATCAGAGAATCCGATTCCGAAGGGATTACTTTAAGAGATTAGCGAGAAGGATGAGTCACTTCTGCGTCATTTTGCGCTCCGAGTACGAACTTGCGTAAACCTAAGCTAATCGTCTGCTAATTATGTAAATAGACGAGACACACAGGTGCGAAAGGTACAAGATAATCTCCGGTACTGTGTAGAGTTAGATCGGGTTATGCGGAAATTATACCATAACGGCTACTGTACGCCATAACGGCATATAACGACTCATAATAAACTTTACAATTACAGTAACCGATGTCTGCTATGTAACACAGCAGATGCCTAAGTGCTGCCAAATATGCATATGCCGTTTCAAGGAAACGTAACGGTCGATTTCAGCAATGTCGATTGACTTTAATCGACTTTAGCTCGCTTTATCTCCTTCGCGATTACAGTTTGCGGAGGGCGAGAACGGACAGAGAGTTAAAGCCGATCGCTGAAATCAACCGTAAGAGAGGATAAATCATTGTGATAACGTTCAATCGCTTCATCTTAATTGCCGAATGCGATCAGTCGTGTATTAAGTCGAGCACGTCGATTAGAATTATCGATTTAAAAAACTGCGGCGATATCGCGGAGCGTTCGCCAAGAAGGCGCTCGAATGCTAAGATTCGCTTTACTTGTAACGGTCTGTAGCAAAACTTTAAAAGAACTCGCCGACACTTAACTCGCGATTATGACTAATTATCACGGATTGTAGTGGTCGACCGAGAGAGAGCAAGTAACGATGAAATATAAGATACATTGGCCAACGCAATTTGCCATGTCGTATTTTTTTCTCACACATTCACGTGAATTTTATTTATTTAAGTAGAAAACTTTTAATTTGCTTATTAATTTTCATTGAAAAATTTTACTACTATATCGATTTCGGTTTCTTTTTTCTATTTTATACTAATATCGAGGTTTCGATAATTATTGTTGAGAAAATCAATTCCAAATTAATCAAAGAAATGCATCCACAAATATCGATCGATTAGCTAATTTTTTCCGATTTATAAATTATTCAAGGAATTAAAGAACGTTTCAATGGGAAACTTAACTTAACTTAACGCAGCTTATCTCGCGATTAATTGAATACACAAATACGCATTTTTAGTAACAATCGCGTCCAAAGTACGATAGATAGATCGTCCTTGTAACGCGCGGAGTCAAGGGTCATTCGCGATGGCATTTAATTGCCAATAAAGAGCTCGTGCCGACTATGACAAAGGCACTCATGAGCCATGTAGCCGTCGACGATATTTCCATCAACTCGTTGTTGCTCGTTTGTGGGCGCGCGGGCCGCGATCGCTTTCTTTCCACGCGTCTCGTCCTCGATGCACCGAAGAGGTAAGACGTCATGTATTTTTGATTGCATCGAGCAAGCAATGGTTTGCCTGAGTTGTGTGTTAGCCCCGAAGGAGACCGTGTACCGGCGAACGGCTTTTTTTTAGTAGATCCCAGAACGAATGGCAATTTCACGAGACACGCATGGCTGTATGAGTAGCTCATTGGATTCAGGGCTTATCTTCAATGTACTTCGGAGCAAAATAGCATCTCCGCATTCTATTTTTTAATAATGATAACAAAAAAAAAAAACGCTTTGACTTAAAATTATTTTAAAAATAATACTTTAGGATGATCTCAAATGTAGATAAAATAGATATTATATAAAGTAATTATTGACACTCCGTAATGATTTATCTTTCGCTTATCTCCATTGTCAGCGGGCCTCAGGCACGCGCCCATATTTACGCCCCTTAAATATAAGGTAGGCCCTGGTCGAATTGCTTTCTTATTGGTTTCATCTAAAATTAAATCCACTCTATGATAATAAATCATTCTTTGTCACGTCGCACCTGCACTCCATTGGAGAATTTCAAGCCTCATGATAGCCGAGGCTAGATATCTCTTTCTTATCTCTCTCGACTGCCGAAAGACCTTATCGTGTCGTATGCTCGCACCGCCTTTAATCAGTTCGTTCAACACCTGAGATCACGGTGGTCTAGCGGCTGTACGATTTTCGAGGCGTGTGCACAATTTCCGCTTGCAGCATAAAAAAAAGCAAACGTATTTTCCCTCGTGCTTGTTCTTGCATGCGATTTGCGAATATGGTGACTCGTGAGGTAAGAGGTACTACCGAACGGGCGTGTTTAGTGAAGTACGGCTTTTAATTTAGTCCCGTGTAGTGTTTGAAGTGTACGTGTCGCGTGATCATTGCTTTAATCGATATATTTGTAATGGAGAGATATATTTCTTGGCAGACCAAGAACACTCACTCTTATCTTTGCTTTTAAAAATCACTGAATAATCTGCTAGCTTAGTAATGTTATCTGTATATAGAATTGTATTTTTTTTTTCCTAAACAAATAATTACATAATTTTGCCTTGAAAAATAGAGCAGAAATGAGAAGGCTTGTAGAGAATTAAATTTCTTCCGAACATATCAATCCTAAATTAATGTTTTCATTTTAATAGACATCTTTCATGTAGGTTTTTAAATTGTTTTATTTTAAATTTTATTTCTTATCTATACTTTCGTAGCAAAAATTCTATTTTCTTTTCAATTGCTTTTAATCTTAGAACTATAGCCTCATAATTTTTATTAAGAAAGAATATTACAATGCATGCAAAACATTTATGCTGTCTTAACACTTAACAG